GTCGAAACGAAGTTACGGAAATTTAATTAACAAACGGAGACGTAACAATATTAATAGAAAGAGATACTAAATGGACATAATTCGTAGTTGTTGTTATTAAATTGTCATTTTGTTAGTTTTCTTTAATATGAAAATCATCACGTTACTTCAGAGGGGGTACTTTTGATAATATATCGAAAAGAAGCCTTCTTTAATTAATTATTAAATATCTCGGTGAATGCTACTCACATTTGTTGACTATTTTATATTTCACAAACATTAGGTCTCGATATCGTAGCCGTTGGTATTAGGGCTGAAACTCATGAAATAGAAAAGACAATTTCAATAAAGTTCACTGAAATGGTTATTTAATAATTTTATCGTATGTTATGAGAAGAATATTTTTAAGCATTCTTTAAAATAAACTATTTTTATGTAGAATTATACGGATATTTTTGTTGTAATTTGTATTGAATGTGGAAAATTAGGCGTGATTAGTGTGCCAGGACTGTATGCTCTAAAACTGACTGAGTCAAATCAAATCCTACTTTTCGGCCACAAGGATTAATGGCTTTCCCTCGAATCTACTAGCTAGCCTTTATATAGTTTTGTGAAATGTTTCTAAGAGAAACTGAAGGCAGAAATTACTTAAAAGTTAAAATATATACACACCTTTTAAAGATTAATTTTACTTTCTGCTACGTAACGTTTGTTTCACATCTAGTCACCGCTTGTCACATGGAAAACAACAAGTTTCTGGTTAAAGTGACATGATACGAAACATTAAAATGATAAAGTGTTACGTCATTGCAAGAATACTACGTGCAAACTTGTATCTCAAAAATTTGTTCATTTTAAAATCCAAGAACCATTGTATTGGTCCAGACACAAAATTTTAAAAGTAAAATATCGTAATTTTAAATTGTTTTGAAAATGAATATTTTGTTTGTAAAAACTTAAAATTGTTTAACAGGCCACTAAATGTTTATACTTAAGTAAAACTACTTTTATATTGTGATGTTTAATAAAAGCGTATACAAACTGTTGTAGGCCTACGTCAATTTTAGGCCAGAAATTGCAGTCTTAGGGCGACCGTAATATGCTTCCCATTTAGAAGAGAAAAAAAAAAACACAAATAGAGAAGGAATTGCCTTTATTCCAGTGCAACTGGTTAGTATAGCTTTAGAATAAATGATATACTTACTGTACAACGTATATTAACATAGTTCATAGCAGACAGACCTAAACGTTTGGCTTAACATTCAAAGTGTGAAAATCGGAATAATGGTAACAGTTTTCCGACTTGATATTTAATTTTAAGTTAATGTTGGATTTTGTTACGTAACTTTTGTACTGTAGCCCAAGTTAAGAGTGTATAAGTTTAACAGTGAGCCCACTGTGAGTTATTTAGAGTGTTATGGTATTGTAAAAAGGTAAAAAAACTGTTATAGTTGAGCTTAGAAAAATACTATTATAATTTAGTATAAGCGCACTAACGTGGGTAAATGGTTGCATTCACCGGTCGGAGAATCTGCGAATGTGATGCAACCTAAACTATCAAACTTGATATAAGTTAAAATAGACTTGGTGCAAGGTATACAGAATAACAGTTGTGTTTATTAGTTAGAATTTCGCAGATGTACAACTTAAAGTTTTAGAACTAATCAAACAGTTTAATTATAAGAAAATCAGTTTACACATTCTGTAGCAAGGTGGTTGTAAGGAGAAGCTTACTGGAGCTGAAGATACCCCGAAATGTGATTTATCTTCTCCTGTAACCCTCTGCTCCCTACGAAAAGGAGTTACTGTTAAAGCTGATTTACCACCTAAATACTAAAGGGTTAAATGAAAAATAAACAAAACTTAAGTACATGGAAAATGTTAACATGAAATATACTATTAGATTTATCTCTGTGAAGTATTGGCCTAGTGTATTCTTTGTGTTGCTGCACTTTCTGATGTAGACTGTAGTTTCGCCTATTTATGGCTCGCCAGTACAGCTTAGGACAGAAAACCAAAGAAAAACGATTAGGCTTCATTTTTTAGTAACCTAAATTAATTTAGGAGTGTGAATAATAATATGGCATTGCGCCTAAATTATTATTTGACATTATATAATGGGCCAACTGTTTAATGATAATATTACAGATTTTTTTGTCACCAAAGGTAATATAGAAAATATAATCTGTGCCCTAAAAGTCTAGTGTATTATCTAATTCGCAGCGCCCTCTGCTGTTGTGCAGATGGTGTTACTTACTTTATTGGTGTTATTAGTAAACTTATAATGCTGTCACTTAGAAATACATAGGTCTAAGTAGAAATCAATGCTGAACAGTTAACCAAGAAAAACTTTCTAGGTACAGTTTTGCATACTACTCAGTAGATTTAAAAGGATCTACACTTTAATATATTATTAATACATTAGTCGCGAACCTCGAAACATTTGGGGTAGTTTTCACGCTCTTCACTTGAATTTTACTTATTCTCTCATTTTCAAGCACGCCATTTAAGCTGCGCTTCCTTGCAGGCATTGCGCGTTAGATCGATAAATACTGGTCTGTTAAAAAAAAACGTTCTCGGACAAACAAACAACACGTACGTAGCTCTATTTAATAAAATTACACGTAAAGTAAACAATAAAGTATAGTAATGGTATATATAGTAGTGTACAGAGTATGAAACAGTTTTTAATGTTTTGTATATGATACAGTTTTAGGAGTTGAAACAAAGAAACTCACAAAAACGAAGAATAAAACCTATAGTAAAGAAAGACGTGTTTATAGCAGTCTATAAAACGAACCGACGCTAAATTATTGCAAAGTAATATAAATGTAAAATTGTGAATAAGAGAAACTTAGCTGGATTTGCAGAAACGTTTGAATGCGTGTTTTGAACGAATTGCGCACATGTATTTATACCTAAAAAAAGTCAAATAAAATAATCATAACCAAATCTGTGAAATGAACTCTGACGTCAACACAACTTATCTTGCTACTTCACTGTAGAAGATATGTTGTAACACCCCCCCTCCTATCTTAAGAATATGTGCCTTTACCTCCCAAAACAGGAGTGTGTGTTTACGTTAATTTTTGTTTCATAATTTTTATCACATCAATCTGAAGAAGAAGAAGAGACAGAAAATCGGCGTTTTATAATTTTGTTTTCATACCAAAAGGACTGAAATTACTCAAGTAGCGTTACTATCGTGAATTTAATTTCATCTGAGTAAGTTCAGCCCTTCAAGGAATTTGTACTTGGGTATATATAAGATTAGAAATACTTTATTTTCTAACAGAGGTACTGTTGGTGTTATGTGTCTAACATCACATTTATGCTATGTTTTTTGAAGGTTTGAAAATATACTATGTTTGAAGGCAGCTTTCCTGCAGTTGTAATTGATATTGGCTCCGGTACCTGCAAGGCTGGTTTCGCAGGAGATGATATTCCTCGGGCAATCTTCCCTTCTATAGTAGGCCGGCCTCGTTATCTGGTACTTAATAATTTTGCTTTATTTATTATAAATTATTGAACTGTCGATACTTTTAACATGCTTTATTTGTTGGTGTTGTAATAAACAACTGAAATGTCTATACTTTAACTGTGTTTTATCTGTCGATACTGTAATAAACTATTAAACTGTCTCTACTTTAATTGTGCTTTAAATGCAGGTTTTGTAATAAATAACTGAACTGCCTATACTTTAATTGTGCTTTATTTGTTGGTGGTGTAATAAACAACTGAACTGTCTATACTTTAAATGTGCTTTATTTGTTGGTGGTGTAATAAACAACTGAACTGTCTGTACTTTAAATGTGCTTTATTTGTTGGTGGTGTAATAAACAACTGAACTTGTTATAAACTACTGAACTGTCTATACCTAAATTTACCAATTTTTCCCTTTCATCTTTATACAAATTGTCATGAAGTTAATGAGGTAATTGAAGATATATCTTGAATGTTTTCGAAAAAAGAAAAGAATGTATATCTATGATAAGATATTTTTAGAGTAATTTTTTATGAAGATGTAAAATCCCTTTTATCCAAAGATTTTGTCTGACATCAAACTTATAATTTTTAATTGGTTTATATATGACTTACTTTTTTTTTCTACGTTTATTCAGGCTGTAATGTTAGGGATGTGTCATAAAGACACATATATTGGAGACGAAGCTCAACATAAACGCGGCGTTTTGACTTTGAAGTACCCTGTCGAGCACGGCATTGTTACTAGCTGGGATGACATGGAAAAAGTGTGGTACCAGACATTCTACAGAGAACTTCAAGTATCACCAGAAGACTATCCTGTGCTTCTCACTGAAGCCCCTCTTAATCCTAAGTCTAACAGAGAAATAATGATTCAGGTATTATATGTTGAACTGAAAAATATATTTAGCAAGCAAAAGTACCTGTCCCCAGTGACAGTAAAGTTTAAGTTAATCTATCAATCTAAATTATTTCATGGACTTTAAAAAAGTTAATTGTGTTGCACTGCTGGTTTCACTCAGAGACAAAGCTCTGAGATACTTATACTGCCCACTGCAAAAATTAATTGTTGAGCATTTCAGTCATGCTAAGAGCAGCTCAACAATAACAGACCGTAAATTTACATTTTTATTCTTTACGTTACGTCATATTTTGAAATGTGAATAATAGTGTGAGTAATTCCTAACAGTTTAGTGTAGAACATCTTGCTTGCGAAATAAAATTTGGCATCTACATTATTCATGCCTGTTCTCCGTCATTTCAAAAGTGAGCTTTGCCTGCGTGTGCAACTTTTCACACGGAAGACAAATGAACGCTCGGACAGACACCACGATTCACAATATATACAAGATCAAGATAAACTGAATAGTGAAAATTCCATGCTTTAAATCACAATAAATTTATGAGGTATAAACTTCGGCACACTTCCACACACAAACACTGAGCATGCGTGTGAAGATCTATGAGGTATAAACTTTGGCACTCTTCCACACACAGACACTGAGCATGCGTGTGAAAATCTATGAGGTATAAACTTATGCACACTTCCACACACACATACACTGAGCATGCGTGTGAAAATCTATGAGGTATAAACTTAGGCACACTTATATACACACTCTAAGCATGCGTATGATTTTATAGAAGCATAGTTGACTTCCAGATAATATTGTTATGACAGCGGAAGTCACGTGACTGGTAACACGTGATGAGTTTCTAGAAGGATGGTGAAGGCTCGAGTGTTTGCCAGACGCCCCTGTATTTTTGTATATATAAGCCCGGCAAATAAAGCGAAAGGGAGAAGTGATGGCATAGATAAGGGCAGAAAATGAGATATAGAGACAGATAATCGAGTCGAGTGAGCGGTAGTGACCGTAAGTAAAGTGCGTGAATCGTTGTGAATTATAGCGTGTGTTTGAGTTAAAGTGACTGTGGAAATTCTGTGTATTGCAAAGTTATGTTGAGAAAGAATAAATTAGTTTTATTTAAGAAAGGACTTGTATCGCTGAAGTTCTTCGGAAAGAATTTTTACGGGAAATTAACAAACGACCAGAGACGTAACAATATAATTTCATTTTGTAGTATTTAGAATGTCAGTGTTGGTCATGCAGTAGTTTTAAGAAGCAATAAAGTTTACAATTGCATATTGTGTGTGTATCGATGTTACTTGAATATTTCAGATGATGTTTGAACATTTTAATGTCCCAGCTATCTACGTGGCTATCCAGGCTGTACTCGCGCTGTATTCATCTGGTCGTACTTCCGGGATTATTTTAGATAGCGGAGATGGCGTATCTCACACAGTTCCCGTCTACGAAGGCTATGCAATGCCACATGCCGTGATTCGTTTGGATTTGGGCGGAAGAGATCTCACAGATTATTTAATAAAGATCCTGACGGAACGTGGCTACAACTTTGAAACTTCTGGTATGATTTTATGCTTACAATCTATTTACAACGAATCAGTTAATTTTAATCTAATTAGATCGACAGTTAAAGTTATAGCACAATCTTTTTAAAGATAATTCAGCGATATAAAAATGTTCGTGTTACAAATATCATAGATTTTAATTCTATCATTGAATATTTTTGATAATATTTATTCAGTGACATATTAGGTTCCAAATTTCGTAAAACTAAAACAGCCAAAACAAAAGAGAAAAATTGTGACTGCGTAACTTATACTTGAAAAAAGTTTTGGACAGGGTGATACGTGATTTTATCTTTCATTTTCTGGTTGATTTGAAGGGCCAAAATGTTTGTACCTATTCATCAGTAAAAGTATTATCGAATTAATATACTTGTTACAATGGTAAAACTTTACTTTTAATGGCTTTATCCTAGTATTAGCTTGGAAAAGAACTACGTCTTAGAAGATCTTTTTTTTTTCGGGGGGGAGAATATAAAACGTAATTATATTGGTCCTTGATTATTCCTGAAATATTAACAAAATTAAATTATTACAAAAGCCTTATTCTGATTGGTTAACTTTATGACATTTTAAAGTAATAACAGCGAGACCCATGTAACAAAGGTGTTAGGCCAAACGAAGTAGCGTCTGTTTACAGATTGGCTTTTGTCAATCGGATGAAAAACTTATTGCTTGTTTAAAACTGTGTCTGTGTAACATGGGCTGTTCCCAGATAGTAACACCTGATCTTACGCCAATTACCTATGTTTTATTTTTCTTCTTTTTCTTCCAGTTTTTGGTTTTACTTAGATATGCTAGTCGTTGATACATTACAATAATTTTCATTTCTTTAATATGAATTGATGAGCTTAACGTAAACGTTTATGTATAAGCTCTATATCCGAAGCTGATTGAAATTTAATATTTTCTTATTAATATAAAAAAAGCGTCAAGGTTTTATCGTTTATTTGTGTTTGTAATTTATCGCTAATTTTTATCCTACGTGTTTTTTGTTTTTTTTACTATCGTCAATATATGTTAACGTCCAAATCTAATTGAAAAGCACATCCGTAACTTTAGGTTTGTAGAATTAGGGTGATAATGTACGACTTTTGAGATTTTAGCGTTTCTTAATTAGTATAATTTTTATTTACTTTATTCAATATTCTGCTTCCAATAATGTGTCGGTTAATATATATACCAAACATGTTACATAAATGAACGGGGAAGAAATATTCAGATACAATTAGGAAGGTATTTTTTCCCCCAAATAACTAATTTTTTTACTTTTTTTTTTAGTTATCTCCTCAAACATTTATAAAAATTTTGCCAGATAATTTATATTGATCATTATCATTCGAATGGAAAAACTTATTGATTTGTTAACTTTATAGATGAGTAATTGTAAATAAAAAGGCTTTTGTTTTTGAAACCAGCCGAAAGAGAAATAGTTCGTGATATAAAAGAAAAATTATGCTACGTCGCCTTTGACTACTATCAAGAAATGGCCTTAGCTGCAACCTGCAATAGTCTAGAGCAGTCTTACGAACTTCCCGACGGCCAGATTGTTACTCTTGGTAACGAAAGGTTTCGTTGTCCAGAGTGTCTTTTCCAACCGTCTTTTATAGGAATGGAATCCTGTGGTATCCACGAGGTCACATATAATTCAATAATGAAATGTGATGTTGATATTCGTAGAAATTTATATGCTAATATTGTCTTATCTGGGGGGTCTTCCATGTTTCCTGGTCTGGGTGAGAGAATGCAAAGAGAAGTATCATTAATTGCTCCGGTCACAATGAGAGTTAATGTAATTGCTCCTCCAGAAAGAAAGTATTCCGTATGGGTCGGCGGTTCAATTCTTGCATCTTTATCGACTTTTCAACACCTGTGGATTTCTAGGCTGGAATACAACGAATATGGCCCCGGCATTGTTCACCGTAAATGTTTTTGATTTTTTTTAAATTAAAAATTGAATATAAATTCCAACTTTCCATCTTAATTTGTATTTTTAACACCCAACGCTACACATTCTTAATAATATTTTCTAAATAAAAAAAGACACATTTTTAATTATCTCAAACAGTAATATCAAGGCATTTTAAACCAAATATTAAAAAAACGAAATACATTATTAACGGATCAGTTTTTGTAACACAGCTGTAAAAAATACACTAAATAATACTCAAGCAATAAATTGTGAATTTTTAAATTCCATACATCAATACTTACAAATTTTAAAAAATATGAATTTTATTGTACTAACTTATTTTTTTTTTTATAATCCGAAAACTAGTGTGAGTTCATAAAGGGACATTTGTGGAATATATCGTTGCGAACTTAACTAAATGCGGAATTTTAGTTTTGTTTAAACGGAACATTTAATTTCTACACTTGTGTCAATACGGTACTACAACTAGGGACAGAAAGTATCTATTATTTTACAAATAAAATACGAGCTTTATTTGAAATCAAATTATCTATATTTTTGTCAAAATAAACCAGGTAATTTCTTAAAAATCTAACACTCAAATATATAAGTAGCAACGCCGCTCGTCAAAAAGTATAGACCATGCGAAATCACAAGTACCAGTAAAATGCGGATGGAAAAACGTATATTAATTTGCCTTAACAACGCATTTTAAAATATAAATATAATGATTTGAAGAACTGATAGTTGCTTAACTATTACGACAATACAAATAAAACAAGCATACGTATATTTATTACGTACTTTCAGTGCCGATCTAAGCATAGGCTCTCAAATTTACCGTATACTTTTTAAATTATGACCTTTATTGGCGATCAAATTCATAACAAAACCTGCTTATGTAAAAATCAATATGCTGAAACCCGTCAAAAACGCTACTTGGAAGCGGCCCTCGCGCTAGGCCTACACGTTCTCAAACATGGAACTTTATTAATTATTTCACCGAAAGGATATGTATATATATATAATGATATAATCATATGAAATTTATGAAAGTAATAAAACCTAATTACAATATTAGAATGTAAAACTGTACAAATTTTAATTTTGAAAAGGTTTACGTATTGATTTTTGACACATTCACTACAAATATAGAACTTGATTAAAAACATTTATTTATGAAGTCATAAAATAAAGATACTCATGTGATTTCTTTTGCTAGGCCTGTTTAGCTCGGTGGCTAATCCGGCCATGTGTACTTTCAATATAGTGAGGTAGCCAAAACTAGTGGTTTACGAACGTTTTATGAATGTTATAAAAACACAACTCGACACGGATATTAGGGGATGGCATGTAATTTCTTTTTTTAAGGGAAGTACTTTATTTTTAAATTATTTATTTTTAACGCAAAGTTACACAACAGACTATATTGAACTGTCTTATTTTATTGGTCTCGAGTCCCTAAACTTGCCGCTGACCCTTTGGGAAACAGCTTTAAAACTACAGGTACCTAGTAAACAGAAATATGAAATCAAATACTATTTACGTAAACCTGCAAATAGATTTGGCTGAATTAATGCAGAAAAATAGGCATGTTTTCTGACCATAATATTTCATTTATCCAAAATACAATATGCTCGGTTATTTTCTAAAACATCTCGAGACATGGTGAATCGTATGATAAATTAGGTATTATTTCTACTTGTATTATCTAAAACAGATTGTCTACTGAATAATAAAGAAGAATAAGTTAGAAATATCAGTGCTTCATATTCTTCAAATCCTATATCAATGTAGGTTCACTACAGTGTGTTTGTTTGTTTTGAATTTCGCGAAAAGCTACACAAGGGCTCTCTGCGCTAGCCGTTTCTAATTTAGCAGTGTAAATAAAGGGAAGGCAGCTAGTCATCACCACCGACCGCCAACTCTTGGGCTACTCTTTTACCAACGAATAGTGGGATTGACCGTCACATTATAACGCCCCCACGGCTGAAAGGGCGAGCATGTTTGGTAGGTCGGGGATTCGAACCCGCAAATTGCGAGTCGAGCTCCCTAACCACCTGGCCATGCCGGGCCCTCTACAGTGTGTAAGAGATAACTAAAATCACCGTAAATATAAATTCACGTTAGAAATCCAAATAATAATGACAAAAGATGTAAAATTACTCAGAAAGTCTTATTATCAATAAGTAGCCCTTTCTTCTTCTCAAAACTAGGTGCTAATTACTAATTAGTTTCGCCTGCTAATCCATTGCCGCCTTAAAGAAATTTCTGAGAAATAAGAAAATTATCCTTCTCAGAACTTCTCTGAACACAGCAGCCGAAACAATGGGTTATCTATGTTGTGTCCATTGCGAATGTCAAAAACTGATTTTCAGCATTATAAGTCCTCAGACTTACTGCTGAGCCACCTGTTGGGAGGGGAAATGTACTGTCAACTGCAAGTTATTTTACTTGATTAGCTACAACAAAGAGCTTTTATTAAAGTTTGACAATGAAATAGGTAAACTGCGATATAAACTATTAGAACTTAGAGTTTTTTGTTATTTAATCTAACGAATTTATTATTATATATTTATTGTAATATCAATGTTTGTTTAGATTAAATTTCTATTTAGAAACATACATAGCTTATACTGTTAAATATGTATTGCGAAACTCCCGCCTATTCTCCAAAGTTGTAGAAGACTCTCGAGAGTAAGAATCATCAATATATGTATGTATGTAAACGCTTAAATTTGTATTGTTACGTAATCTAAATTTTTTAGAAAGCCTCCACACACCTATAGATATAACCAACGCGCCGCGCCAAAAGAGAGTATCAATTATTAGTTTGCTATAGTCAATATGCTATAAAACTTCGGAAGCTATAACTGTGATTGTTGTAGCGCTTATCAATTGGAAAACTTCAGATATTTAACCAGGAGCTTTTACAAAATTCGAACATTACAACTCATTTAACTTCAGTGGATTCTCATTGGACATTAGTATTTTTTACGAAAATATTACATAATGTCACGGTGGAAAACTCGGTGTGTGTGGCTGATAAATAACGAAGGACAAAGCTAGCTAGCTCCCTGTTAAGTGAATTATATCTACGTCAACACTCGCTCATCGTGAACTTTCGATATGTTATCGAAGAAGTTCCAGACTAGAAAGAAGACTTTATATTGCTTGTAAGTGTGTGAAACGTTTGTATATTAATCATTGTTTATAATAACTGTTATTATAAATTGTAATGTTGTTTGTATATTAAAACATATTTGTGTTAAAAAAGAAAACTGTGTGTATCAATCTTGTTAGCAAATATCATAAACTAACTATATATCGGCTTTTACTTAACTACTAAATTTAAATTATCAGTTAAATCGGTTTCAGACCATTTGAAATTCTAATACGTTACATTAAAAAAAAAAGGTTCTACACTTACAAAAATGAGGTGATTTAAAATATTTCGCAATCAATGGAAATCCTGCTACTTCTTACCATTCCATAACTTAGAAAATCGTGTATCTTTGTTCACGTATCTTGTCATTTAGTATTCTACAAAAGGAAGAGTGAGATACGTTGTAAGTAACCACTTACATTCTCTTAGATCGTTAAGTAATTGAGAATTGGACATGACTCAACCAGCGAAATTCTTGTGAAATACTTGAAGAATATTTACTGTTTGTAATAAGCACAGAGAGTGTCTTAGATGTCATAAACATATTGAAAGCCATTCTAACAGTGCAAATCACGGTCAAAATGGAAAAGCCATGAATAAAAGTAGCTTCGCTTTGGGGAAAAAAATTTCATCAACACCAAAACATTAAGGATGTTTCACTGCATTTTTATAAACAAGAGATCGAGCCTGTAACCTTATCCAAAGTTCTATGCAAAAATTGTTCAAAGTTTCCACCACCACGTATACGACCGATCCACGATTCGTTAATTCGAACTTGTTCTAATTAGTAACCGATTTTGCAAGGATTGGTTCAAAGTTATGTGAGATTTTATATTAAATACTCTCGTGCATCGAGTAATTGTTAATCATGAAAATGACAGTTGGAAGGTTTCTTAACACGATTTGCTGTGATTACTTTTTGTGTTTCCATAGTGATTTCATATTTACGATTTTGTTCAATGGGAGAAAAAAAAAATAGAAGTACTGGCCAGCGAGCTGGGTTCGATCCCCTTTGGACCTAGGAATATGTTAACTGAAATACGTGAATCAAATTTTATTTATCTTTTAAATATCTTCTTTTAATATTTTCCCCTTTTACTTTTTTTTTATTTTCGAATATTCCGTTATGTCTCAGTAGGAAGTCACCATATAACTCTTGCACTTTAACCTCGTTCTCCACTTTAAATAATCATTTTTATAAGGAGTTATCAGCCAACTGCAACTGTTTCCCCCAATGTTTGCATGTTTGTCTTATTTTGCTCGCATATTACCGATAATGTATTGTTTTGAGGGGGGATGACAGTTATCACTAAGGTGTTTTCGATGACAGTCTCGTAAAGTATATATATATATATATTTGGGATATTTCACATGATGAACAAAGAATTCAGAATGTCAGTTTATAGTCTTTCATAACTAAAGGTTATAGGCGTAGAAACAAAGAACACACGAAGAACTTACAAGTAAAACATGCCTGAAGTGTACAATATACCCCGTACAATGCATATTTTCAAGTTTATGATAGTCATTCCAACACAAGAAGGTAGCTAAAACTTCTATTAATTCAGCAATAACTCTTCCTTATGACTTAGAAACTACTAGGATTTAACAAGTTAAAACACATTATTTTTACTTTCCTGCAAAACAAATCTTACGAAAGGTTGAAATACTGAAAGAGCTAATCGGAATAAAGTATGCGAGTTATAATGAAAGGACATTTGTAGTTTGCAAAAAAAAAAAAAATATTAAATAGGGTCGGATGTCCTGTAATAATATTCACGTGGTCGGTTTAATATTAACAAGTTTCTGAACATAACATAAACCATTTTTAACATTGTTGCGCTTTGTATATATTTTAAAGACACCATTCTCACGAGAGAATCTCTTTTCAATTTAACCTGTAGTGAAAAAGAATGTATACTCATTAAACAGTTGGTCCGCTACAAAATGTGATAATATTATTAAATTACCTAAATTAATTTAGGTTACTGTAGGGTGTAATAAAACGGACTCAAAACACTAAGAGAGATTATGCGCTTTGTTGTAAACATGACAAACTGATTTTTATAAAATAAATATCCAGCGTTTTATATTAACACGACTAACTCAATACGAAACACAAAAATCTGACCAACGAATCTGTATTTTATTCCAATGTCAAATAAAAATTCTATAAAGTACACACTAGTGTTACACCAGTACCAGAATTTCAAAACAGGAAAATATCACTCAATAAATACTGTCTTACTTTAAATAACAAAATATGTAAATATATATATATAAGAGTAAAGTGAAAAATCTCTGCAACAGTTATTTCCCATCATACGTCACGTTTTCCGGGTTCTTGTAATACAAACAGCGAACACAAGTTATCGCTGATGGCCGATGTTCATTTTGTGTGGATGGTAGGATGCATGCTGGGAAAGCAATTTTTTTAAATATTTTTTTTTATAGGCGCATCAATGGCCGATGCAGAGATTCTTCACCCATCTAGTGCTATATCACACAACCTCTCGCTGATTACTCTTTAAAGAAAAAAAATACTTTTTTAGGTTTAAGTTTCGAAAAAAAAAGTTTGGCTCATGTGAAGAGTATAATTCTCAGATAAAACTTTGTTCTTTGTTCAAATCCAGGTTATACCTTTGTTTAAATGTCCATTCCTATCGTTTTATTATTATTATTTATCGAGTCTTCAAACCTACTTTATATTAATACAAGATTTACTGAGAGCTGAAAACTTGTATTAATTTTATATTCAACAACCTCTAACTACATAAATAATATGATGTTTTTATTTCCAACACACATTAATCTATAATGCTGTATTACTAGCATGTGTCTGACTTAAATTAAATAGCCTAACACTCCTTTTCAAGTACGATATATAGCATACATATTCGTCAGTGCTTAAGATCCACACAATATACATATTTAACACACTGATCGCAACAAGTTATGTCAGCTTTTTAAACTTAGCCCAGTTTATATATATATATATACAAACATATACACAATACAAATATACAATACCATAAACTTTTTTTTTAAAACTAACCATATCCAACTAATATGTTTACTTAGTAGCAAGAAACACTGATTCTACACATTAACATTTGGTAACATCACAGTTTCAGTAAACTAGTTGACTTGAGATGCTGTAATTTGGTGTCTCACCAAAACTTGTCTATCTTTAAATATAACGAAAAGTTTTTTTTCTAACATTGTGGTTAAAAGTCCATTTAAAGAACAATTCCAATTACAAAAGTTTTAAGCTTACTTTCATAAGTTAAGGTAGTTCCTTGAAAAAAAAAAAAAGTCTTACAAGCCACACAGTTCAAATAGAAACTATTTTCCAAGAATGTTGTCTACTTTGTAATATGCATTACTGTCTTTAATACAATACTATATAAAACAGGCTTGGTGGATACATACAACCTATTTCTATTGAAAACTCAATGATTAAGAGGCCATGGTAAAATGTATTATCAAAGAAATTGAGCTTGAGTCTGTGAATGGTCTAGCAGCTTTGAATGCAAGTAGGTTAGGTTTAGTCTGACCGTAATATTATAAAAGGCTAATGAAAGGATTAAATACTGTGTCATTGGTTTGCAACCATTCCTAGTCTTATTTTTAACAGGTGTAGCTTAGTTTAAATATATACTATATATATAATACAAGTAGCAGATGTGTAATATTAACAAAATAAAGAGTTATGTTAATATATTTGGTTTATAATGATTTAATAGTTAAAGTAGTTTTACTTTACTTAATAAACTGAATTGATATAGCAGTCAGTTTAGCTAAATACCATTTTTAAAAAGGCAATAACAGCAACTTTTATAGTAGGAAAATTCCAGATTTAATTATTACAATGTTTTGACCCATAGTATCGTGTGATCTACAGTTCAGAAAGTTTCTTACTAAACATTAAATATCACTTTGTACGTTAATAAATTACATTTTAATATAATGAACTGCTAGATAAAAAGTTTCCAAACGTAATATATTAATACGTTTGGATTAGTTTTTCAAAACTTTGGGCATAAAATTAAGAAAACATTATCCATCTGTTTTATTAATTTATCACAATATAGTAGAAAAACATGCAGGTTCAAGAAGTCTCGATAGAAATGAATAAAAACCCTATAACCCAAGCGCTTTCAAAAGGTGGACCTTTCTTCTTCAGGGACAGAGAGCTTGTCCCTGAAGGAGAAAGGTCCACCTTTTGAAAGTGCTTGTTTATAGGGTTTTATTCATTTTTATCACAAGATAGTATATGTGTCATTCCTGACTCACCCACAACATGTATAAAAAAACCTAATATATTTAACTTTCTAACAATAATAACTTAAGGCTATAAAACCAGGACTGGTCTTTCATTTCATCACAACTTAAGATGATTATCACTTTAATAATGCAACTATAAGTATTCTTAAATTTCAAATCTGTACCCTAGTGTCTATTACCCCTGATCCAGATAGTTCAAAGTACCCAAGTTACTTAATTTTTATAACCTTACTTTTTCACATATGTTCCATATTATTTAAAATTTTGTAATTAACTTAAACTTACAGAATTACCATACCTGATTTATTTACAACATTGTCATAAACTTCTAAGAACTTTATAAAAACAAAAGAAAGAAAGATAAAACACACTGCCAATATATACATAAATAAAAATTAGCTATGTCTGGAGCTAATTCTGTTTGCTACTCTGAAAAATTCAAATTATACATTTTAATGCTATTTTCTTACTAGAAGTCTTGCTATCAACATAAAAGTCAGATTTTAACAAATATTGTTCACATATCTGCTCATAAATTATTATTAAATATAATGTTAATCTTAAAGAATTGTAATCATCTACCAAAACTAAATAATACACGGGGGATGTGTTTTTACGTTTTGTTTACACTTAAATAATCAAAACTAAATAATACACGAGGGATGTGTTTTTACGTTTTGTTTACACTTAAATAATCAAAACTAAATAATACACGGGGGATGTGTTTTTACGTTTTGTTTACACTTGTTAATTCAAAATAGATTATGAAAATCTGTCTGTATTGATACTCAGCTATGAAATCTTACATTTGGAAGAACTTCACGTGTATAACTTGTATGAGATTAAACTACTACAACGAATATCAGAAAAAGTCCCGAAACTCGAGCGCTTTCAAGTAGTTTATTATTATTATTATTCTTTACCCTCATGAAGAATAGCCAACTGTTCAAAAGTGTTGAGAGTTTTGGGTCTTATTTTTTTAATTTATTACACCTTTTCTGTAGTGATTCTGTGTGCTAACCCTTTTATCAGAAAGAAAACTGATTCAAAACACTCCTGGGCTCACAACTTGCTTATAAGTAAATATATATATATACAACATGTTTTTAAAATTCAACAGAATAGGATGTTTGGGATGGGTTCTTGATTTAAAACAAACTTATGAAAAGTTAACATCAATATGCAAATCAAGGCCAAAGACATCATGAAGCAAAGACCAAGAAAACAAAGGAAGGTACGAAAAAATTGCAATAATTTCAGAACCTATTGAATATTTGAAATCCTTACACACTTTCTTTTCTTGAATTAAACACTCGGAACCTTATCTGCCATCTACAGTCTGCAAAGATAATACAATCTCATTAAACAAGTAAATTTTTTGACACTGCTGTTAATTGCACACTCAGTTATATGTCTTTTACTTCAAAGTGAAAAACGAGTTAATTATTAGTTAATAAAAACAGTTTGTTGGGCAGACGGAATATTTCAAAAACATGGGGTCCGTGGGGGAAAAAATAATAATAAAAGGGGTGCTTGTTAGTGAAAAGGTTGGGAACCATTGGTCTAGAACCTTCAATGCACTTTCCAAGATTTTACAGCACATAACTATTCAGGTTTTTGAAGTTTAAAACATTTACAAACTTTCCTTAGTCAGTGTTGAAAATAGTGGAGTATTCTCAATATATATCTCACATGCATGTTTCTTTAGGAACAGTTACAATATTATTCTGTATGGTACATCTTTACACAATGACAATGTACAATTTATTGTTTGAAGCATCATTTCCTTGTGATCACACCACTACAAATTCACAAAATTAATAACACATCTATTTACATAATTAGAAGAATTTTAAGATGGTATGTTTATATCTATTTGTTCTTCAGATGTTATATTAAGTTAGTACATATGTTAATGTGTTTTGTTTACACGTACACATCCGACATAAAGGTGTTCCGTACATTTAAAAACAGCTCCAAAGTTCAAACAAAAAAAGCCATGGGCACCAGGCTCAGAAAAGTATTTTCATTTGAGGATTTATGGAATATGTTATGAAATGTGATCCTTTACACATTTTGAGGGGTTACTGTCTGTTATAAAAGTAAGTATTAAGTACTGGAGAATAGGGGTTATTGAGTAAGTTCTTACTTGTTTAATCAATTCAGTATGCTTGTGCCCATGGCTTTACACCTAAGTCATGTTTTCACTGACACTGCTTACCATCAGTTCAAGATTTAAAGTATACTTTTCAGTTGAGTAATTATTAAATAGTTTATTTAAACAAGGTTTTGTATCTATTATTAAACTTTTGAAAAAATAATAAGCATGTATCATCAATATTTGACTATAAAATAAAGAAAAATTCATATAGGAACTGGTTCAGTCCAAAAAGAAAAACTTGTTCATTTTTACAGATATACGTTATCCAAACCAGGGGCTTAACTCATTTTATCAACACTGACAGAAAATTATATTTCACACTACTCTTTTGTTTTTTTAGTATCGATCAACAGGTCACTTTTCAACCCAAGTTATTGCTATGCTAGTTTGAATGAACAACTGTTTCTATCATAAAGCACTGCTTCAAAATAAAACTAGTTTCCCTATGATTATGTTTAACATCACTTCAAGTTTTACTTTCCCACAAAGCTAAGCTGTTTTTTTTTTTTGTTAATTTTGCAGAAGCACTTTGAATAGATGCCTCAAGAGAAAGAATAATAATATATAAAACTTTACTGTATGATCATTAACTCTACTAGATTTGAAATAACTTTTATAAGTTTTCTTGAGACAAAACAACAAACTAGAATATTGTAAGGCACGAAGAAGGATCACTGCTACACTACGGTAACTCAGAAAAAAATCGGTTTTTGTAAGCTGCCAGTGATATCTAGTTCTACATGTTTTAGTTTGAAGCAAATGCTGTAAAGATAGCCTACAGATGAGAGTCTTTATTGACAATGTTAACCTTGGGTTTGACCGGAGGCAAAGGACGGGGTGGTTTGCTACGTATAAAACTAGGGGAAGATAACACTTTTGTGCTTTCTGACCCTCCAATATGGATAATTGTGCAGTATGGTTTTTCAACAGACTGATTAACTGAAACTTCTGGTTCAACATGAATGCTTCGAGATGGGCGTTCTGGTGGTTCGGTTTTTGGCAAGAGAGGTCAAAACAAGTCTTAGTCTCTTCTAAGTCACTAGGAGAATCAGTTAAATCCCAGTCTTTGTTACTAGTTTCATTGGATGGTGGAATAATGCGAGGTGGCTTCTCTGGTGTTTTTTCAGCTGAATGGGATGTAAGGAAGCTCCATCTATTCTGTTTGGATGCATGTCCTGAACCAGTGGTTTTCACATCTTGAGATACTGTTTCAGCAATTTTTAAATCTTCACAGTTACTCTTCTGCAACTGAAAAAATCTCAGTTTTTCACTTTTGTCTGCACCTTCATGTTCACACGGTCTTAATGTGTCCTCTTCATTACTGCTTGAATTTTTAACTAGCAGCACTTTTGATTCTGCCAAGTTTTTTGTTACTGTTTCTCGGAACAAAAACTTGTGACTGGAATTTTTCTCATCATCTTCAGGCTGTGACAATTGCTTGAAAGATTCAGAAAATTTAACTGGTTTTGTCAGTTTTTCTGGTTTGCTTGGTTTTTCAGGAGGTGCTGAAGAGAATTTCTCAATAGGACTTATGTGATTTCTCAGGGAAATACCAGGAAGAGGAACACTCGATTTCTCAGTATGATTACTTAACTTTGTGTGACGAGGAGCTAATGGTGGCTTCTCTCCTTTCCATAATTTACGTTTATGATCTAAAGAATTGGTAGAATACAATAACAACTTAGTTGGCTTTTCTGGTTTCTCAGGTTTTTCGATCCTGGTCAGAGGAACTTTATCTATAACATTACCAGACATATTTTCATGTGACTGCACGATGAAAGGGCACTCTGGTTTTCCCGAAGGTTCAACGACCTTTTGTAAGACTGTCGATGTTGCCAGATCAATGTTTTCAGACTTTGAAAGCTTCTCAAAAGAAGTGGGTGGCACACAGTGAATATGGGAATGTTCATCGTGGTTCTGAGATATTGTTCTTTCTGATACTCCAATACTTTCAATTTGCTGACCACCAGGAGTTGGAGGAGCAGGTTTCTTGCTTGGTCGATGTGTAGGTTTTGGACTGTTAGTTACTGGACTTGTAGTTAAACTGTAAAAAAAACTTTAAATGTAAAAATTAATCTTGATAAAGTATTCACCATAGTACTGCAAGTAATTTAAGATAAAAAAGAAACAAACCTTAAATGTGTTTTTCTCTCTCTGTACAACTTGTTATCATGACTAATAACCGTATTATGTGACAACACACTAAGCTGTACACATTCCAGTAGTTGACAACAAATGTTTTAATTTATTTTTGGTCCTATCAGAGAGAAGATGGCATCGAGATAATTACTACTTTTAAATTTTGCAATTACATAGTAGCATAATATACTAAATCTTAAGGGATCAAATTCAAGGGAGTTCACTAAGGTTTCACTTCCTTCCATAACAGACCCACTTGCCCTTGTTTTCATTCTGATTGTATTGTTGTATTTATCAATAAATGGTGTTTTTTTACATCTTTCATAATTTGACTCTTTCTTCCTGATGAGCTAAGTTAGAGATAAGGGAAATGAACACACAATTGTAAGTCAGTATCTTTAAAATCTCCAGTTACAGGGACTTAACTGAGGGAAATCCACAAGCCAGAAAATACCACATAATGAGTGTTAATTTTAACAATGACAACAAAAAATTAAAGCATAGTTTGACCTTTGATCTTTTAAATCACAGATCTTGGAGCACAACACCTGCTTAACAACCAACCAGATTTTTGAAACATCTAAGAACTGTTAGCACAAAATAAAATTAGGTTAACTTTTCCACAAATTTAATAATTGACCAAGGTGTTTCCATTGGCTGCTAATGATGTGACGTGATACAAGTTGATAGAGACAGTGCTGACCTTAAAATCCATCACTCACAGGAAGGTTAAATAAAAATAGCATAAATTTTTGATTTACTTCTCCAGTCATGAGTTAACTACTTTGCTATACTCAATTTATATGGCAGCCATTAGTAGTTCAAGACATTATACAATTTGTATTCAACCAAAAGCACTTTAAATCATATTTTTATATTCAGACTGACGTAAAAGACGTGTAAATCTGGCTTTCTTTCATTTCCAGCTATTTTCTTCAAACATTCACTCAATGACTTTACACCTCTGGGCATATCTTTCATTCTGGAAATCATGTTAAGTGTCTATACAATATATCACAAAATGGGTTAACACTTAAACAAATGTTGTTTTCCAGTTATAAATTAGGAACCCTCAGACTTTTTAAAATGCTTTTGCTTTAAATTAACTCTCTCAACATGGGCTCAGTCGATTTAAATGATCACATAACCTCTTTGTATTAATTTAAGTCTTTATAGATTTGATACTACCAACTTTTAATATAATGTGTGTATCTTCACAAAATTTGGCAGTCTTTCAGTAAACATTATAAGTGTTTCATATATAAAAAGTTATTTTTTAGCAGAGTATTTTAAATAAACTATAAAAAGATTTGTCCATGAATATATCGAGTACTTGTTTTGAATAGTCCGTGTGCAAAGTGATTTTCATGTTAAGATTAAAAATACTTTTCTTCATTTCAAAAATCTCAAATTTCATTTGTGTAATCTCTAAAACCTCCTAAATAAATAGTCTAAACATTTTAGACTAAACATTTGTGTTTTCGTGTTACAATCAGTAGTCATTCTAGAATGGAAAAAGCATAATTTGAATTTATTTCCTAATCTTTTATGGTGGTTATGAGGGTGGTCAAACTAACAGACCCCATAGAATTAGGGTGGAGAACATAACAGATAAAATATAAAGTTTTACTGAAAACAAGTATTTGAAATCTATTTAGGTTTATATATATATATATTATTTTTATTATATTGACCTTTCAGCCATGCCTGGCTAACAATACAAAAGTTACAATGATGCAGCACACGTGCAC